ACAATGTATATCCAGCTTCAAAAACATCCTGACAAGCCAGCAGTTAAAAGGAAATACAGAGTTGTTGCTATGGAGACGACACCGTTTCATCTTGTTGCATTGATGTAAGCTGGCAGGGTTTCAGAGGGTTGTAGACTGGCTCAGAGCAAGTGCTTGCAAGCTTCAAGTCATCTCATTGTGAATTTTGGTCTGAACTGGGCTTAAGAGGATTGGATGTGATTGGCCATAGTTTATTCCAGTCCCAAACACACCTACCTCTCCACTTCTATAATTCACAAGGTGGTCTGATATACAAAAACAGCAGACGATAAGGAGGTGAAGAATCCATCCGTTTGATGCTTTTATATAATAACTTGCAGGGATATATGACTGAAATAAGATGTTTGAAGTGACACATAATTCTTATCCACTTCTCTTTTAGTAATTTTACCAGCACCTCATGTTTTGCTTGTAAAAATCCCCTCATCAATTTGTTACAAAGTTTTTTTTCATTAACTGCACAATATTACAACATGTAACAACCACTTAGGAGGGAAAATGAAGCACCTCTGTGATTGGTCCATTTCTGATGAAAATCCTCCCGAGACATGCACTCCCATCCTGAGTCTGTATGAAGTCTTTGTGTTTAGAGAGAACTCCCCTTGGACTCCTGCATAGTTGTAAGGCAATGACTTGCTTTAACTGTACGACCACAAATAAGATCCAGGCTGAAAGGGTAAAGACAGCAATACGTAACCAAAGACAATACTGCTAACAGCAGACAGCTGATCCAGCAGTCATTCAGTCAGATTAACAGTGTCCATGTATTTCAGGGCTTGGCTCCATCCAACTAAGTTAGATTTTAAAAGCAAAGCTCCACCTTACACTCTTCTCTTTACCCTGGTCATCTCTCTGACACACAGATCCAACAATATAAATCCTTGTTTTTGGAGTAATTGCTTTACAAAACATTTGCATATGCCCTAATTTTACAAGTTCACGGCCAACACAGGGGACTTGAAATACACTGTGGGCACTCAGTAAGTGCACCATGTGCTGCCTCATTCCTGAGTTAATTTATAACTAGCATCAGTGCCCTAGCAAAAACGAAAATCCAGAAGTTTTGAAATATTGCTGGCTGCAAGCGCTGCCCCATGGAATGGCTTGCAGAGCATACACAGGGCCAGTAGTGTGTGTAGAGCCCAGTGTAATTAAAGGGTGCTATAGTGCTGGCAGTACTGAGGTGAAGTTTGTCCCACTGACTCAAGGGATATTTCAGGAGGTATGTTTAAGTGACAGAGTTGTGAGGAATGTTCCAGCAAGGCTCTGAATCTTCCTTATTAACAGGGAAGATGGGGTTACTGTGTTTTCAATTGCAACCCTTGTTTGTGTTGCTACTTGTTTGTTGGTTTATTTATTTTTAATCACTGGGACACCAAAGGAAAAGTTTATATCAACCCATTGACTGAAATGTTTACATTTTAGATTATTTGGCAAACGCTTTGCACTGCATTACATTAAATGATTAAAAGTTTAGTTTAAAACAAATAGAGCTCCAAATCAGAATAGCCACACTACTGGATTTCCATCACTGGTAACACAGCTGGCAGTTATCACAGTACTGCTCCCTATGCCTGAGATCTGCAGGCACGTGGCTAGATAAAGGGGGAATTCTAACTATGGAGGGTATTAGCGCAATAACCCCTTCTACCTCACTGTCAGTCGTTTTGAATGTGAGCAGTAGCAGATATTAGCCTGTCTAATCTGTGAATCTAACTAATCAGAGTTGAATAAACCCATGTTGCAGATTACATCAAAATTAAATGGAACTGCGTGGGAGTCATATGGATAAAGGGCAAATTTATACAAGTCTGTTATGGATCGTGTTTGGTTTTTGGTTTTGTGTTCTATCCACCATTCAGATTTTTTGAAAAGTTTTTGGTCACTGTGCTGAAAGCACTCATAAACACGTAACCCTTTATAAAGTAATATAAACCCCTTTATTCATGTGTTGTTTGATGGTTTACACTTTCATTCTACATTCTTGAACCAGCTGACATGTAATCACACAGAAAATACACAGTTTAAATCTGCATATGCGATTATGCCAGCGAGACAGGATTAAGATTAATGTGTAATTCTTGCAAACATGTGTTATTGACAGAAGCAGTATGGAGTCCTTCAGCTGATTAACTTTTCCTACAGCCATCTTAATGTGGCAGGTATCTGTTTCATCTGCAGCCTCTAATCAGAGTGACCTGCACTGGGAAGCAGGATCACACACTACAGATCCACTGGTTTCATTTTGTGTAACTGCCGCCAGACTGTTGCAAATTCACCAAAGAAACATCTGTGTTTGTGCACATCAAACTTGTTGGAGACAGTGCTGAAGAATCACAGGCCAATTAAAATGTATTCCTCCTTTTTGAAGGTCCAGTATGTAGGATTTAGTGGCATCTAGTAGTGTAGTTACACACTGTAACTCCCTTGCTTCACCCTTCCCTTCCAAGCTTAAAGAAGAAACTTTGGTGGCCACAAAAACGCCCTTATCCAGTACCATTGATTGGTTTGGTTTGTCCTTTCTGGGCTAGTGTAGAAACATGGCGGTTTAACATGGTGGACTCCAAGGAAAGCGACCGGCAGCTTCTGTAGATCATTCCAAGGTAATAAAAATATAATGACTTTCAGGTGATTACAACATAGTTATGAATATGTTCAATTTCTGCCAATAGATCCTCCTAAATGTTACACACTGGGCCTTTTAACTTTAACTCCACCATAACCATTGGTTCCTTCCAGTTCTCTCTTAGTGTCCACTGTGGTGCAGCGGCTTTTCAGAATAGAAGAATTAATCCCCTTAAATATTTCTTTTTTCACACAATGTATACACACACAGGCCTGAAATACAATCATGACACACACAGGGCTTATAGACATGCAAATGTCTCTCTCTCTCTCACACACAAACACAGATAATAGACCCGTCTGTGAATAGTTCTTCTCTGTCTTAATCCAATTACTACCTACGCTTTTCCAGCTGTTGGGAAACACACAGAAGCTTTACTTAAGCCTTGAGAAGCTGCAGCCTTGAACCTAAACTGTACATTTACTGACAAACTGACAACGTCACTGCCTACCTTTTATCCTCTGCTCCACTCCCATTCACTTTCTGCAGCTCACTCTCTCTGTCTCTCTAACCACACACATTATGAACAACCTTATGTTGTTAACACAACACTGCTAATCTCGGAGTCCAGACTCTTCAAATAAGTTATTAGCAAGCATTTCAGGTTTTTGTAGCTAGGAAGGATAGCTATATTTTGTTGCTTGTTTGATACAAGGTGAAGTAGCATGGGGATATCGCATATGATGGAAATTAGCCAGCTAGTGCTTTTTGGCTGTAGTACTACAATGCAATAGTTGTAAATGCCTTACTGTGGAGCAGAGGCAGAGCGGGTCGTCCCCTAATCGGAAGCTTGTTGGTTAGATCCCCGGCTCCTCCTGCCACATGTCGAAGTATCCTTAAGCAAGATACTGAACCCCAAATTTGCTGTGCATCGGTGTGTGAATGTGTATGAATGCGTTTTGCCATCACTGTGTGAATTTGTGTGAAGGTGAATGTGGCATGTAGTGTAAAAGCATTTGAGTTGGTCGGAAAGACTAGAAGGCGCTATAACAGTAAGGTCCATTTACCATTTACCAAAGCAAGTTGCCATACTTTACTTTGAGGCACTTGGTGAGGATGCTTTTGATTGTGCAAGAGTAGAAGTCTACCATAAGAACAAACTTGGAGGGGGTCCAGTGCAAGTGGTACACAACTTTGGAGATGAGCCAGGACGAGGCTTGCTGCAGTGGAGTTTATAGGCATTGACATGATGCCGGTGTTTTTAAAGCACATTGGTAGAGGGAGGTGAGACCTCCATCAACTGCACATAGTGATGTGGGGTGGATGTAGAGCGGGTCATCTACTAATTGGAAGGTTGTGAATAAATGACTCTGATGGACTTTGTTGTGAATTTGTGTGAAAGGGTGAATGTGGCATGTAGTGTAAAAAGTGCTTTGAGCGGAAGACTAGAAAGGCGCTATACAAGTACAGGTCCATTTACCATTAACCACAGCTGATTTACCTGAGCATGATCCGGGTATTTCATCAGGGTCTGTGTGAGGGGATGCTGGTCTGCAGGGAGCTAAGCCGTGACGGCCACCTCCTACTTGACATGAATAAAAAAGCATAAATTAAAGCTGTTAAACTCACCTGGGATGGAGGCATTGTGGGTTTCAGTCATGTAGGCCTGAATATCTTGCCACATGCGCTGGGGGTCGGAGTTGTTGTTAAAGTGTCAACCCTTATGGCTGTGCTTGGCCCTCTTGATGCCCCTCTTCAGGTTAACTGTGGATGAAGTGTAAGCCTGCATGTCAGCGGATCTGAAAGCGGTTTTGCCTGCCTTCAGCAGTAGGCTTTTGACTTGGTATAGTGTGGTGGTGACACTATTGGTGTTGATATTGTCCAGGACGGAGGAGGCATACCAATCAATGTCCATGTGGTAGTCCGGTCTGTGTTTTCAAACCGGTGCTGTAGTACAGAGTCTGCCCCTCTGGCTACACTTTAACTGTTCTCACGGAAGGTTTCACACGTTTAATAAATGGTGTGTAAGAACAGAACAGTGAGAGGTGGGGACTGCAGGTTGGAGTGATTGAAGTCCCCTGCAACAATAAAGGCTGCCTCTAGGTCTGTTGTTTGCTAATAGCAGAAACTTATTTTTTCTTCCATAGAAGGTCTAGCATTAGCATGTAGCAGGATATATGCTGCAGTCAGAATCAGAATCAGAATCAGAAATAATTTATTGATCCCCGGGG